CAGGGTAGTCTAATTTAATTGCCCCACACTTAGACCTCTTCTGATCGATAGTATTTAGTTGCCTACTAAAACTCGTTGGTCTTTTGTTGGTCCGTGTGCCGTAGTTATAACAGTTTCTATTTTTCATGATGAGGAACCCACTTTTTAGAAAACAAAGCTCGGAGACGGCTTGAATGGATAGTGAAAGACATTTTACTATAAAGCTCGATAAGCTTGTGTCATCATAAGGTTCGAGTAGTTTACATAGACACATGAATATATATATATATATATACACAGTTTGGAACAAAGAGGTCACACGACCACTGTCTATGTTGGACGGGTTCTTTGGACTATTTGGTAAAAACAGAGTATTGTAACATCTGGCCACTTAATCATAAAGAAAGCATTTTATTTTTTGAACGAGCGATAGGCTTAAATTCCCAAATCACGCTACACAGTCACTTACTTGCTAAATTTCTCTCGAATCTACAGCAATTTCTAGAACTTCGTTAAAAGTGAAAAACAAACTCAATATTTAAAAAAAACTTGAATAATAGGCAAACCGACTAACAAACTCGTTAATTCAGTAACAAAGTTCTAGCAAACTTGCTAATTCAGTAACCAAGTTCTAAAAACTTACTAATTCAGTAACCAAGTTCTAACAAACTCGTCAGTTCAGTAACCAAGTTCTAAAAACTTACTAATTCAGTAACCAAGTTCTAAGAAACTCGTTATTTCAATAACCAAGTTCTAACAAACTTGCTAATTCAGTAACCAAGTTCTAACAAATTTGCTAATTCAGTAATCAAGTTCTGACAAATTTGCTAATTCAGTAATCAAGTTCTGACAAACTCGTTAGTTCAGTAACCAAGTTCTAACAAACTTGTTAATTCAGTAACCAAGTTCTAACAAATTTGCTAATTCAGTAACCAAGTTCTAACAAACTTGCTAATTCAGTAACCAAGTTCTAACAAACTTGCTAATTCAGTAACCAAGTTCTAACAAGTTTGCTAATTCAGTAATCAAGTTCTGACAAACTCGTTAGTTCAGTAACCAAGTTCTAACAAACTTGTTAATTCAGTAACCAAGTTCTAACAAATTTGCTAATTCAGTAACCAAGTTCTAACAAACTTATTAATTCAGTAATCAAGTTCTAGCAAACTTACTAATTCAGTAATCAAGTTCTAACAAACTTACTAATTCAGTAATCAAGTTCTAGCAAACTTGCTAATTCAGTAACCAAGTTCTAACAAATTTGCTAATTCAGTAACCAAGTTCTAACAAACTTATTAATTCAGTAATCAAGTTCTAGCAAACTTACTAATTCAGTAATCAAGTTCTAACAAACTTACTAATTCAGTAATCAAGTTCTAGGCAAACTTGCTAATTCTTTGTTAGAACTTGGTTACTCTAGAACTTGATTACTGAATTAGTAAGTTTGTTAGAACTTGATTACTGAATTAGTAAGTTTGCTAGAACTTGATTACTGAATTAATAAGTTTGTTAGAACTTGGTTACTGAATTAGCAAATTAGAACTTGGTTACTGAAATTACGAGTTTGTCAGAACTTGATTACTGAATTAGCAAATTTGTCAGAACTTGATTACTGAATTAGCAAATTTGGCCAATTCAGTAATCAAATTCTAGCAAACTTGCTAATTCAGTAACCAAGTTCTATCAAACTTGCTAATTCAGTAACCAAGTTCTGACAAACTCGTAAATCAATCAACAATCTAAAGTACTCTCGCTTAACTCGCGTTTTATGTTTCAAAGCATTTTCTAAATTTTGAAAAAAGTTCTACTTTTAGGCAACCATTAATACAAATGTCTAAATTGAAGAACATAACAAACAATACTGCCCCTCCGTAACCCTCATGTAACCTGTGGCACTGGTCACTTCTAATACTTTCGCAGCTGTAGTCATACAGTTCCTGTAATTGAGGTGGTAAACTCCCCTTATGTGAACATTTCATATAAAACTTCCTACATTTTTGTTCCCAAAAGGACTACTTTCAAAGTTCTTTGATGTGGTAGTGCTACTTATACAGCTTCACGGATTAAAATGTTCCATCCAGAGTTGACACACATTTCATGATTTTTGTATTCATGGCCCTAATGATGACATTCTTAATCCTCAGATCCTCTTTGTTGTCACTGGGAGTTCAACCACTGACATTATGTCATGTAGTGCACAGGGACTGTTGAAACTGTTTGGAAAGAGTCTAACCTAATATTCATGTTTCCACACTTTATTCCCAATTTGCCCCTGAAGAAGAAAGGTCCATCTTTCGAAAGCGCTTGGGTTATAGGGTTTTATTCACTTCTATTTCCAATATAAAATCTTCATCGTTATTATTTACTCGCGCATCATGTTGTACAGAGAAACCTCCCGCAATAAAGGGGTTTTTAACTTTTCTTTTGCTGGAACTTTATGTCTACATACTGTTTGCATCAGTCCATCTCATTGACTCACTCACCTTTGGTTGCAATTTCCTATTTTTCATTACCTGAGTGGGTAAAACATTAGTAGCTGTAGAATTGGTGAATCTATTAACTTATGGACTGGTTTCTTTAGATAATGCACATTCTAATCTCAGTTGGCAGATTAAGTATTCTCAGTTCAACCATGTACCTTAAGTCTAGCTAATTCCTGCTTTCTGATATCTGGTTAACTTATTGTTTTTCTTTTGATTTGTTTGGGTTCTGGGTGTTGTCTTTTTGATTCATTATTTTTTGTTGATTAATCACATTTTTTATACTATCCATGATCTTACAGCAGTCATTTTTTCTGTTACCTTTTGGGAACAATTTTATTTCTTACAGCTTTTGTCTGCAGTTCTCGTACATCCTTTAAAGTTGCAGTTGAAACACCTAAAGTCCTATGGTTTACTTCTCCATTCTGAGTAACCAGTTAATTAATCCTTTGAGCTATTCTAGACTTATTAGACGGATGTTTCCATGCTATTTGATCTTATGCTTCCATAATTCTTGGATGGTACCTTCCAGTTGTTTATCTGCAATGATAAATGATTCATCACCAACTGGACAACTTCCTAAAATTTACACATACTTTGCTTTAACATAATTCACATATGCAGTACTGTGCAAAAGTGTTTG